AAAAAATAAATTTTACAGCTAAAAGCAATTTTTTTTTTTTTGCTGTAATAATTTTTGCCAGTTAAAAGTGCCAAAAATAAACTTAATTAAGCATTGATTATCTCACAAGAAACTTCTTTTTTTTTTTTTTTTTCAGCATCAATAAATGACAAAATAAGAAATTGATAATCAATAATGATAAATTTTTGAATACAAAATAATAACCTTCTACACTTCTTTTCTTCTTAGTTTTTTTTTTTTTGCCAGACAGTGTTGTATTTGAATCCAAAAAAAAAGTAATAGCGCCTCAAATCAATTTAACAAGTGCCATTATTGGCAAAAAAAAAGAAAAACGAAAACGAATAGAAAAAACAAGAACAAAAAAACAGTAAAGGACAGACAGAAAAAAAAAACAACAAAAAAAATTAGCCCTATACAAGTATAGAATCTTCCTCTGAATCTGGACTATCACGTCCAGAGTTGTTGGCAAGGAACGTTGTCCGAGTGATACTTTCGGTGATGATTTTTTTGTCATCTGATTTATGCTCTATAGTTGTTGTTGTTGGACTACTCTGAACAGCAGCATCAACAGTTCCACTTGGTTCATCTGATGACAGCTTTTTATCACGATTAAATGTTGAAAAATTACCCACTGACAATCGGCCAGTCATATCAACAACATCACTGCAAAAAAAAAAAAAAAAGATTTTTTCATTCAAAATTATGATTCAGAAAAGAAGAGGAGGAAAAAAAGAAACCTGCAGAAACGAAAGAATAAAATCAGAAGGTTGCTTGGTTGCTAACCTGTTACGATTTGGCTGCAAATATCGCGCACAACATGGTATTTTAATCAGAATCCGATGCAAGAATTTGATGTTATGCAAAAATGCTCTGGTATAATCACGACTTGCCAAACAAAAGACGAAGAAGTTTAAGCAGTGATTCAACACTTCTAAGGCGTTAGCAATGTTCCGAAACAGCTGAAAAAACGACAGCTCTCAATTATTAACACCGACGATCGGTTACATTTACTGCTACAGAACTAAAAATTGGCTTATTGAGCCAAAACTGCGGTATATTTTTTTGTCAACTTTTTTTCCCATCATCATTGTAGTCAACTGATCTTTAGTAATCAAAATATTTGCTTGTGTTGGCTGTCGACTAATCATATGCAATCAAATATAGGCTCTTTAACAAAAGTGAAAATGAAATTGTCACCAGGGCTACCAGAAAGAAAAAAAAATTAAAATTGAAATAAAAATAAATGTTGGCAAAAACCACAAAAAAAAATTTGATTTTTTTTTTTTGGTTAGAAGTGGTCTTTTTTTGTGTTAATTTCTTTACATTAGAGAAAAAACAGTAATTTAGTACTTCAAAAATTCTTTTAAGATTTGAACAGTTTTTTTCTCAATGATCAAATTATATTGCTTAGTGACAACAAAAAAATGTTAATCAAAAAGAAAATCTATATATATATATATATATATATATATATATATATATTTCCACTAAACAAATGCGAATAAATATGATGTCCAATTAAGCAAATCTTTTTTTCTGCTTTTTAGACTACAGTTTTGCGCAAAAAGAAAAAAATTGATGACAATATAGTTGAATTATTAATCCACAAATTAAAATATTTTCTTCCGAAAAATTTTTTGCACTTTTTTTTTTCAATTTTTTAATGTTTAGAAAGCTGCTCTTTCAAATGGTTCCTTCTTGTATGCAACAAAAGTATAAAGAAAAAAGAAAGAGGAGAAAAAACAGAACATCAAAACATACTTGGAATGAATAGTTAGTTTCACGATTTTCATGCTGTAAAATCATTACAAACACTTGTGGAATGTTACCGATGATAAATATTATACAGATTGCAATTAATAATGCTGTCAAACGTTTTTCAGTAAAACTTTTCATCAATGAATTACTTTCTCGCCTGAAAAAAGAACTAAAACAAAAGTGATCTATCTATGACGGCTAAAAATGGCAAAAACGTATCTGCTGATATATTAACTATACACAGACACTGTAATTAGCACCAATTAGTATCAAATTACTGTTGTTGCAATTGCTCAGAATCCTATCTGTAATATCCATCTATAAATAATAGCCCTAATATTGGTGAACCCTTCCCTTGCAGAATGCTGTCAAAAGACTGCTATTTCAATTGATGCTGCTTAAAGTCGTTAAGGTAAACTGTTGATTTTTCTGTTAGTAAACGTATTTACTGCAATTCTTTAGTTGTACAAAAAAAAAAACGAAATTAATATCTTTACTTAATTTTCTTTGTCTGTTTGTTTACTACTAATTTTGATCAAAAAAAAATCTTTGTTTTTTTGTAAACCTCATCTGGACTTGCAACATCTGTAAGCATCAAAAAACTAAAGTTTTTCCAAACAGATTGACAATAATTGATCACAATGTAACTGAAAGATAGATGTTGTAATCATTTTTCATTTAACACTTGTGATAATTGTTGTAATAAATCAGTGGTATGTCAGACTGCACAGATTATAAATTACTTTACATATACAACAGCTACCGCAAAGTCATACTTATGATAGGGGCGAACAGAAATAAGAACAAAAAAAAGTCTATAATTAATTAGATTACAATTTTTTTTTGTTTTTTTGCAGTTACAAAAGTTTGCTTAAAAAATTTGTACTTTTTAAATTTAGCAAACTTTTGAAAGCAAATATTAGATATATAGGCTACTAACTAACTGTTACCTAGTTTTGTCTTGTTCAGCAACAGTCAAATCATGGGTACTAGAAACCGGTCCAGATAAAGCTCGTCCACTAGACAACTTTCTGCCGCATCGAAGTATCATTCTTCGACGATTTTTCTAAAGTATTTTCTTCTATTTTTTATACTTTAACTTTCTTTGCAATTTCATTCTTCTAAGTTTTACATAAAATTATTATATGCATTCAAAATTCTTCTGCCGCTTTTCCTTGTAACCGATTGATACTGCAAAAAAAGTTGTAATAATTACACTGAAAAAAAAAACAGTTCACCTTTGCTATTTGCAGCTTACGAGTGATAACACCGTTTAAAAAGACCATAACAACAACACATACAGTTCTAACAGTTTCTCGACATATTTTGTACGTATTATATATCGTAAACATTGGCTCTCTGTAATTATTCAAATTTTAACTGGATATTTTTAAATATTGGATAGCAGCAACTTGGAAAATTTAATGCTTATGCAGAAAAAAGTGCTTCCTAATTATTAAAAATCAGAATGTTATTCTGATTTTTACGTAAACAGATAAACACATACAGAATTAGACAGGTCATTTTACTCATTTTACTCAACTAATCAAAAACAACATTTTTTGAGGAGTTCTAAAATTGCAACGAAACCTGCAATATCAAAGACTTAGTTGAAATTAGTTAAAATTTCTGCTAAATAAATTAGTATTACAAATCGATTATGTAACCAAAAAATTTTTTTGCACAAATTTAGTTGCATTAATCTATGACCAACAAAAAAACAACAACAAAAAAACATCTTCTCATTTAATGAAATGTATTTTTTTTTTTTTTTTCAAGAAATATTCAAAAAGCAGAGAAAGAAAAAAAATTATAAAATAAAAAAGTTTAATTAATTAATTTACTTGCATAAAAATTCCACATTATTTTTTCTTTCCCATCCTCGTTTTTCTTCATTGTAAACCAATCGACTTTGCAATGCCATTGGCAAATGTATAACAATACATATCATAAACAGTATAGCAATTTTTATTTGTGCCCATCGTCTTGGATTTGGTGGACGTGGCGTATGCGGATAATTAATTAATATAAAGCTTTAAAGAGCACATATATTATATAGTTGACATTTGCATACATTTTAGCAAAAAGAAAGCGAACTGTAATATTTGATAAAAACA